TACTAAGCTCCACAAGTCTATCAAAGGATCATTCGAGAAGAGAGACAACTCACGATTACTAGGAATCGTGATGCAACTCCGGAGGCTGTAGGTTTGCAGTACAAGCTGCGCAACGGGGTCGAACTTCAAATTTTTATCGCGAAAAGGACGTGACATGTACTCATTGTGGTAAGTATGGGCATGCAAAGGCTGATTGCTTTCAGATAATTGGCCTTCCTGAATGGTGGGAAGAACGGGGTCGCGACTACAATGATCGTGGTAGAGGTGGACGTGGAGGCCGGTTTAGACGTGGTCGCGGGTCTGGTGGTCGGGCCAATGCGGTCACGGGTGTTCAGGCCAATATTGTTGGGGGCATACAAGCTAATTCTACAAGGATAACGGCTGATTTGGACCGTCAATCTCTACCCCAAATGAGCGATGATCAATGGAATGCTCTCAAGAGTCTCTTTGCTTCTCAAAAGTCAAATCCTAATGAGAAGTTGAATGGTAAGAAAGAATGTGTTGATTTTATTATTGATACAGGAGCATCACACCACATGACTGGCGATCTAGACTACTTGTCTAATGTGATGGATACTAATCCATGTATGATTGGACAATCCGATGGGGATCATGTGGTGTCTACGAAACAGGGTGATCTATGTTTAGGGGGTGATTTGTGGCTACAAGGAGTTTTGTACTCTAAGGATTTAACGTGCTCCTTAATTTCGGTTGCAAAGTTGTTGAAAGTGGTTAAAGGTTCTATTTCATTCACTGATGAGTTGTATGTTATACAGGACTGGGCTATGAAGACGCTGATTGGGGTTGGTGAAGAGTGTGGGGACGTGTACGTGCTTCGAGGGGTGATTGGTGTGAAGATACACAAGACTGTGAACAGTTCAGGATCATGGGATTTATGGCATCTTCGTCTTGGTCATCCATCTAGTCATGTTGTTCCCTATTTATCAAGTTATTTAGATATTGGAAAGCAAGTTAGTTCTACAACAGTTTGTGATATTTGTTTAAGGGCGAAACAAACCTGAGAGATTGGGATCAATCTAATAAAGCTGCTGGAATTTTTGATTTTATTCATTGTGATCTCTAATAAAGCTGCTGGAATTTTTGATTTTATTCATTGTGATCTCTAATAAAGCTGCTGGAATTTTTGATTTTATTCATTGTGATCTCTGGGGTCCGTATCGAATAGTATCTACTTCGGGTGCTGCGTATTTTTTGAAAATAGTAGATGATTATTCGAGAGCGGTTTGGGAGCACCTGTTACGGGAAAAGAGTGAAGTAGGTTTAACTCTTAAGAATTTTTTCAAAATGGTGGAACGACAGTTTGAGAAGAAGGTGAAAGTAGTACGTAGTGATAATGGTGGGGAATTTATGGGTTTGCGATCCTACTTCCTGGAAGAGGGAATCATGCATCAAACATCGTGTGTCTATACTCCTCAACAAAATGGTAGAGTGGAGAGAAAGCATAGACATATATTGAATGTTGCTAGATCATTGATGTTTCAAGCTACCTTACCACGTCAGTTTTTGGGTGAGTGTGTTATCACTGCATGTCATTTGATTAATCGAACTCCATCCACTATTTTGCAAGGAAAGATACCCTATCAACTGTTGTTCGGGGAAGTACCTAGCTTCACTCACTTACGGGTCTTTGGTAGCTTATGCTTTGCTCGGAATGTTTTGCGGGATAAAGATAAGTTTGGGGAACAAAGTAGACGGTGTGTTTTTATGGGGTATCCGTTTGGTCAGAAGGGATGGCGTGTGTATGATTTGGAGAAGTTAGAATTCTTTGTTTCTCGAGATGTGGTGTTTCAAGGAAGATAAATTCCCATATCAGTTGTTGGAGGAGTGATCGATCGATCTACAGCCAGGATCGATCGATCCAGCACAGTTTGACGATGATCAGTTTCGACCAAAGACGACTGGATTGATCGATCCGTCACGTGGATCGACTGATCCCGAGCTACTGACATTTGATGAATTGACGGATCAAACTAGATCGATCGATCCGGCACGTGGATCGATCGATCCCAAGCTACTGACATGTGACGAGCTGCAACCAGTGACGGAGCGATCGATCGATCCCAAACCTAGATCGATCAATCCGGAGCAAATTACTGAGACATCAGCCACTAACGGATCGATCGATCCGGCACCGGGATCGATCGGTCCAGCATCCAGCTCATCCGGTGTTCATATTACGGGGTCCAAAGGTAATTAAAAAAACTTCGGATACTGCTTTGGAGGAAAGGGGGAGTCAATTAGGGAATGATAATTTGACTGGTAAAGGGATTAAAGTTAGACAAAGCGAACGAGAAAGAAAACCTCCGACTCATCTAAGTGATTATGTACTATATACTACACGTTGCTCAGTTGAACAACCCACACTCTCACCGGTACCCACTCAATCAGCGTCCTCTGCTCCAGGTACGGTCCTCTATCCCATTGCCAATTATGTGAGTTGTGACCGATTTTCTGATTTACAGAGAGCTTTTCTTGCGGCCATTACTGCTGTCTCGGTTCCTAAGTCATACTCGGAAGCCGTTAAGGATGAGAAATGGTGCAATGCGATGTCTGGAGAGGTGAATGCTTTGGAAGCAAATGACACTTGGGATATTACTGATCTTCCGCCACGAAAGAAAGTTATTGGCAGTCATTGAATATTTACTATCAAGTATAAGTCGAATGGGGAAATTGAGCGTTACAAGGCTCGTTTGGTGGCCATGGGAAATCGACAAGTCGAAGGTTAGATTTTGATAAGACATTTGCTCCGGTTGTGAAAATGACAACTATTCGCGAGTTTCTTAAGATTGCGGCTGTCAAAGGATGGGAAGTACATCAGATGGATATTCATAATGCGTTTCTACATGGGGATCTTGAGGAAGAAGTTTATATGAGACTACCTCCTGGCTTTGTTTCTCAAGATAAATCAAAAGTTTGTCGACTTAAGAAATCTTTATACGGTCTACGTCAAGCACCATGCTGTTGGTTTGCTAAGCTTGCAGCAACACTAAAAGGGTATGGGTTTGCTCAGCAGGTAGCCAATTACTCTCTTTTTACCTTGGAGCGTGGATCTATGCAACTCTTTGTGTTGGTCTATGTTGATGATTTGTTGATTGGGGGAAATGATCTTAAAGGTATTCAGAAGTTTAAGGGATACCTTAGTGAATGTTTTCATATGAAGGACTTGGGGGCTATAAAATATTTTTTGGGCATTGAAGTATCTCGGTCTCCTGATGGTTTTTACTTGTCGCAAAGGAAGTATGCTTTGGATATTGTAAGTGAATGTGAGTTGTTGGGATGTCAACCAGTGTCTACTCTGCTTGAGCAAAACCATAAGTTGCCGGATGATGAAGGAGAGTTTTATGAGGATGTCGAGAGGTATAGGAGGCTTGTTGGGCGTTTGGTATATCTTACTTTTACCCGATCAGATTTGTCCTATGTTGTGCATATGTTGGCTCAATTTATGCAACAACCATGTGCCAAGCATTGGGCTGGAGTTATACGGGTTGTCAGATATCTTAAAGGCTGTCCGGGTCAAGGTATTATGTTGAGTGCTGATCCTGATTTACAATTGACAGCTTATTGTGATTCAAATTTTTCTACATGTTCCATGTCTTGGAAATCGGTTACAGGCTTTATTTTTATATTGGGTGATTCTCCGATTGCTTGGAAGACAAAAAAACAAGATGTGGTGTCATTTTCTTCCGCAGAGGCTGAATATCGTGCAATGAGTTTTACTGCCCGAGAGTTGAAATGGAATCGTGAGCTTTTAGGATGTTTTGGAGTGTCTCATCCGCAGGCGATGCGTTTGTTTTGTGACAATAAGGCAGCCTTACATATTGCTACCAATCCAGTTTTTCATGAGCGGACGAAACATATTGAGAGGGATTGTCACTTCATTCGGGATGAAATTCAGGATGGTTCACTGGTTACTGCACATCTTACCACTACGGAGCAACCAGCGGATATCTTTACTAAGGCTTTGGGTTCTCAACAATTTGCTTATTTACGGCGCAAGTTGGGCATGTATAATCTTCATGCTCCAACTTGAGGGGGAGTATTAGGGAGTTATATGTAAATATAGTACAATTCCTAGAGTTTTATGTTAATATCCTTAAGTATGTTTAGGGTTTCCTATAACATGTATATATACTCTTTTTTTGATATGAATAAGACACAACTTTCTCTTTATTCTCTTTTCCCTTTGGCAAATTTCTCATTAGAAAACAAGCTGTGTGGGTCCGGCTGCATTTGGGGCCAGAAAAACTGACCTCTAGTGTAAAGAACGGAGTTCACCTCTCTAGCTGCTACACGTATTAACTCCTTCATGCACTCGAAGATCTTAGTATTTCCGCAGGTCTTCAAGATCACAAAGTCATCGAAGACAAAAAGGCTAGAAGCTGAAAGCAGGTACGCATCGACTTGATCTTCCGATAGAAGATCTTCGATTTTGCAGTCCACCGGTTTCAGGATCTGGTGCAGCACGTTTCTCGTCAGCTTTTCCCGTAGATTTTTGTTGGACGTGGAGGCTGAGAAGATGATCTCCAGCCTTTTCTCAACACCTTCAAATGCTGAGGCCATTGTGATGAGAAACAAAAAACTGAGAGACGGAGAGAATAAAAAAAAAACCTTAAGAGATTCTTTTTACCGAAAAAAAGAGAAAATCACTTAAGAATTGTGTTATGAGTTTCTTAATCATCACAAACCCCACTCTAAGACCATGTTTATCGGGCCAACTAATGGCCTGATCTTATGTTAAAAAAATAATAAAATGTTGGACTAGTGGATTAAGAACATGAGAAGTGGTCTTGGACTAGAACTGATCTAAGCCCGTTCTTGTGGCCACGTGGCATCCGCGGATTGGTTCGAATTTTGTTAACGGAAATTGTTTTTCATTTGGGCGAAAATCGTGTTGCATCTAATTTTCTCGCCTTCGTTGCTTCGCCGATTTCGCTCGGATTTCCGGCCAAATCGGAGCCAAAGTCAATTTTAATATAAGTTTAGTTTTTAATTTTTCAATTTTAGAAATAATTTTTTTAATTTTTAAAAACATTTAAAGTTTTTGATTATTAAATTATTATTTCTTATGATCTAAACATGTTCTACCAATAATCAATTACTTTACAAAAGATCTTAATTAGTGCTCTTACAATATTTTAATATTATTTTTCCCTTAAGATCAAACTTCAAAGATATGCCCTTGCATATGCACTAATATATAGCCAAAAATTGTGTACAACTAGTCATTTGAAATAATTTCCATAATTTTTTTAATTATTATTTTGATTTCCAAATATAAATATAATAACTTTATTTTACTTCTGTACTATTATTGTATAATAAGATATATTGATAACTATATTGTTTGTTACTTACATTTCATAATACTTGAAGATACATGCTTTTGGATAGGTCCTACATGTAGATTAATTAATCAAGAGCCAAGGGTCTTTGTAATTAATGTTTCCTCGTTTGTGTGTATTTTTTCGCTTTCTCGATAATACGTATATATAGTATATTACAACATAAGATATTTATATAATCTGTAATTGATGGCTCATACCACTTTACTACGAAATACTCTAGAAGAATTATTGCCTTGTGAAAAGTGGAATTTTTTTTCTAAAGTACGGTTTTTTTTTTTGACAATCAAAGTACATGTTTTTTATAGTGACAATCTGCTTAAATGCGTTATCATCTTCAATCTGTTAAGACTTGATTATAACAAAAAATGTGGAAATAAAAATTTTGGTACTCAGTAGGACCAAAATAAAAACAATCATATCATCAATCTTTGGTCATGGCAATCCTGTTCAATAACATGATGATTCTATATCTAGTTACTTTTCTCCAATTAAGAATTAATCATATGATCAAACTGGTACTTAGTAGGACCAGTTTATATATCTGGTTACTTTTCTCCAATTAAGGTTTTCAAATCTCATAAAAAACTTCACCAAAATTGAAAGAATTCAAACAATTTCATACAATACTACACAAATGTAAAACTACTAAATTATCCATCATTGAATTTCTTAAAGCCTTTTTGTATTGGCATGGGTTATAGATATTATCTATCTATAACCAAACTAAAGCTTCATTTTAATTAAAAAACTTATCAATTTCTATATAGACGGTTTCAATTATAATATAAGTATAATAATTTAGTTTGTCCTCTCGCAAACAATACAATTAATCAGAGCAAACACATGATGAAGATTTAAAATTAATTACGTGGTAACATGTTAGAGATAACAAGAGCAATACCACAAAGATTCTTAATTGCTTTACTGTTATTCACAACCGAAGCATCTACTGATCTCAATCTCTTCACATCATCTAAACATGTATCAGCACCATCCAATGCAGCAGAAACTTTCATGTTCATCCCCATGCCATCTCCTGAAGCTAAATGCTCAAAAGCTTCCTCGAGGTTTCCAATCGCGCTCTCGTATTCATCTAAGCATGACCTGTAAGCTAATTTAGATCGAGGGTCGACTCCTCCATCGATAATAGATTGGAGTTTTTTGAATGTTTGTGTTGCTCTTGCTTGTGTAGCATCAAGTGTGGTTTTTGCCAAGGCTTGAAGATTAGGAGATGCGAATTTAGTATTGAGGAATTTAAGACAGAAAGATGGGTTTAAGGTTTTGTCACAGATTGTGCTCATTTCTGAACTTGTGATTGCGTATGAGGAACCGATTAAGAGAAGAAACATAAGAGAAGACAAGAACGCATTGTTCCTTAGATTCGCAGCCATTCTTGTTTTCTCTTCTTATTTAGTTTTTGTTCAAGTTTATGGTAGAAAATGAATTTCAAAGCAATGAGTATATATATAGAGTAATCTACGTACAACGCATTAGTCAAAAACAGAATCAAGAATAGAAGTTGATATGAGCGATGAAGAAAGTTTTTACCATGGTTAGAAGAATTGCAAATATAGTAATACAGTTATCCATAAATTATGGTATTTATCTTTCTCGATAAATATTAAGAGGAGATGATGATGATATCAAACTATATGTGCTTAATTAATCATGAGGCTAATTAAGTGAATGTTGAATATTTATTAAGGATCAGGCTTAACACGAATCTGAACATATGAAGAACACTAACGAATTAAAACAGTATAGGACAAATCCATTACCTATAGTGCATCATCTAAGCAAAGATAACGATCCTTTAGAAACATAATCTACTCAAAAGAATCTTACAGAGGATCTATATATCACCGTCTCCTCTGTGGATACTTCTTATACAAGGCACTGAAGAGGTACCATTATTTTTCCCCTGTCTTCAACTTCGAATGCAACGAAACAAAGATAACACTAACTCAAACTACATTTCTTGAATTACAAGCAACCAATTAGGGGTAAACTCTTTCTCATTAATTAGTAAAATGATACAACTGGGGGTTTATATACAGACTCAACCAAACAAAGCCTTAAACCAAAATCTAAAGACTCTAGTACATACAAAGACTCTCAGACTTTATATACAAGAAACTATACAGACCCTTTACAACAAAAAAACATATAAAAACCGAATAAAGAGTCTTGGTGAAGGGATCAGCAAGCTGGAGAGTAGTGTTTACATGTAGAAGCTTGAATAAACCTGCAAGTAGCCGCTCACACACACGGTGGCAATAAATTCTATATGAGCTGGAAGAGTATAACAGTCATTTTAGGATACGATTCAGTCAAAGCTACACACAAAGTAGCAGGGGCGGACGTACGTGTATTAGTACCTAGGCACGTGCCCTATACAAAATTTGATAATTTTGAACTTTGTTATATATACTTTGAAGAAAAGATAGAATAATTGGTGTATCGTGCCACATACAATATAATATTCCTCTACTAATTCTTTAGTCAATTAGCTACTATTTTCTTTCTTTTTACTGATTTCAAGTAATAAATGCTTTCCATATATTTTAATCTATTTTTTTCTCTAACCTTTTTTTAATTGTTTAAAGGAATAATGTTTATATAGAGTAGTAGAATCAATGGTTGATCAACAATTGAACACATCAAATAAATTTGCTTCATTTACATGTCTTTTAATCAATAAATATAATATTTTAGATAAAAATTTATATTTTAAATATATTATGCCCCATACTATATATGTTTCTAGATCCGCCACTGCAAAGTAGTGTCCATGCCGTGTAATAAAGCTTCTGATGAGTGTCGGATTTTAACATTGGGTTCAGCAGATCAAGAATCATGGAGAACGGTCAAAACCAATTATAAGCATCGCCCTTGCCGTGGCAATCGCAAAGACAATTATGGACCATGGAGATGCATCAACGGTGTTCTATATTATCGAGCCGAGATTGGTCCTCATCGGGTTATAATGAGTTTTGATGTAAAATCTGAAATGTTCCATGCGATAAGATTACCATGGGATGGTGAGTTTTCGCCAAAGATGATGATATCTTATAAAGGGAAGTTAGCTTATCTCGGTCATTCTAATGGGAAGAATAGTCTTCCTATGTGATGTGGGTTTTAGAGGATGCAAAGAAGGGTGAATGGTCCACTTATAACTTTTTACCTCTTTCTCACTATGATCGTGGTTCAGAGAACCATTTCAAGCTAATAGGTATGACTAATGATGGTGAATTGATTTACGTACCAAACACGGTGTTCGAATCTTTTGATGTTATATATATTGATCCAATAAGAAAGACGTTTAGAAGAGTCAAATACAAAGGAATTGCAGATAAAGATTTTAGACAAACACTACATTGTTCTCCTAAAAACTAAACAAGGTATATTTCCCATGTGTATTAATTAATGTTTTGTAATTATAATTTATAGATCACAAAAGAACCTTGGTAATTGAAAAAAAGGATGTACTCATAGAATTTTGAATAAAATCCCGAAGACTACAACTAAAATATAATGACATTAAAAGATAAAAAGAAAAATCATAAAGCTGCATGAAGAAAAGTTTCACTATAAAAATAAGAAAACCAAGAAAAAGAATCACAAAGATATGAGAGTGTCAACATGATTGGGTGAATATTGTATCCCACGTAAAGGTTTATGTTCTTCAAGTCCATTGCGTTGTCTAAAACCTTTATCTGCAACTCCTTTGTATTTGACTCTCCTAAACGTCTTTCTTATTGGATCAATATATATGACATCAAAAGATTCGAATACCATGTATGGTACGTAAATCAATTCACCATCATTGGTGATACCTATTAGCTTGAAATGGGTCTCTGAACTCCGATCATAGTGAGAAAGAGGTAAAAAGTTATAAGTCGACCATTCACCCTTCTTTGCATCCTCTAAAACCCACATAGGAAGACTATTCGTCCCATTGGAATGACCGAGATAAGCTAACTTCCCTTTATAAGATATCATCATCTTTGGCGAAAACTCCTCATCCCATGGTAATCTTATCGCATGGAACTTTTCAGATTTTACATCAAAACTCATTATAACCGGGTGAGGACCAATCTCGGCTCGATAATATAGAACACCGTTGATGCATCTGCACGGTCCATAATTGTCTTTGCGCTTGCCACGGCAAGGGAGATGCTTATAGTTGGTTTTGACCGTTCTCCATGATTCTTGATCTGATCCCAACGTTAAAACACGACACTCATCAGAAGCTTGATCACAAGTCATGGACACTACTTTGTGCTTACGTTCGACTGGATCATACCCTAAAAAGACAGTTAAACTCTCCCAGCTCTTGTCCGGTTTGCGTAAAGGTTTGAACTTTCTCATAATAGGGTTCCAGACTGTAGGTTTTGTTCCTCTCTGAAAGCAGATCAAACCGTGGACCGACTCGGTTTTAATGGTGAGGCAGCTATGTTTTGGATAGGGTATTTGGTAACTATCAAGAATCTCAGAAGAAGTATAAGAAAAGGACTCGTTCGGTCTCCGATTAGGTTTAGGAATCGTGACAACAAAGAACCTATTGCCTTCTTTGAAGAAGAACAAAAGGTTAGGTCGAGATTCGAACGAGGTGGTGAAATATCGAGAGGTGGGGATTGATGACCAAAGCTTCGAAACACAACGAAACCTTGCGACAGATTTCGCAGGTAGCTTTAAGAATATCTCTGTGGTTATATCGAGAGGTATGGACAACGACGATGAAGATTTACATCTTTTTCTCTGCATAGTTCCGTTCTTCTCTTCTTCTTGTGGCTCCATCTTTTTGGTCGAAACCCTAATTCGTTACTTCCTCTCCACGATTTCGTTTATCTCTGTATATAATGTCTCTGGTCTCTCTCGACTTCTTTTGCTTCAATATATATATAGAGATGTATCCTCTCTGTTTTCTTATCCAAAAAAGGATTACCATTGTTATGAATTGAAAGAGGTGGAACGGTCTATTCCTTGATATGATAGGAAAAGAATTATTATCTTTTAAATACTAAAAGATATATAAGTTACTAATTTTAAAATACAACTGTTTAATTAAGATTATCTAAAGGAAATCTCTCATGATAATCTTAAGGAATGAATATAAATTAGATATAAATAAATTCCTTTTTCAATAGAATTAGATTAATACAAGATTGTCTTGCGATTCCATTATTTTTACACAATCGGATTACCATTTTATGAACATAATAAATTTGTGAAATGGTTATCGAACAAAAATGTCGTTTCTGACACTTAACTATGGAAGCCAGGCCTGGGCGAAATACCCGGAATCGAATATCCGAACCGAAAACCCGAAAAAATACTTGAACCGAACTCGAACCGATTTTTAAAATACCCGAATGGATCCTAGACCTCTCTACCCGAACCGAACCCGAATTGAATCCAATATCCGTGGGTACCCGAATACAAATATACCCGTGGATAATTTTAGTATTTTTAGATACTTTTGGTTATCTTTAAGTAAAAAGTAACCAATTTATTTTCAAAAATTGGGTATTTCGGTTAGATTGGGTATATATGAGTAAAAAAGCCAAACCCGACCCGAACCCGAAAATATTTCAGGTATTTTTTGGTTATTTTCGGGTATTTTTCTTTTTAATTAAAATACCCGTACCGATCCAAACCCGAACCGAACCCGAACCAAATTTTTAGAATACCCGAATGGGTCTCGACCCTCCCCGAAACCCGAAAAAAAATAACCGATCAAGTACGGGTACCCAAATGCCCAGGTCTTTGGAAGGTAATACTAATAACTAGTAATATGTAATAACAAATTTCGCCCTTTCTTTTTATTCTATGTGCTGAGGCACTTGTTCATACCATGAATAAAGCTGAAATAGAAGGGCGTCTAACTGGTTTGAGACTAACGCGATCTTGTCCCTCCATACAACATCTACTTTTCGCGGATGATAGTCTTTTCCTATGTAGGGCTAATTTTAAAGAAGGCGCTGAAATTCTTCATTGTTTGAAATTGTATGGTGATGCTTCTGGTCAAGAGATAAACCTGCAGAAATCATCGACTATTTATGGTGCAAAGATGGAACCAATTATGAAACATCTCCTGGGACTGTTTCTTGGAATTTCTAAGGAAGGTGGTGATGGTATGTATTTAGGTCTGTCGGAGTGTTTTAGTGGTTCGAAATGTGATTTGCTCGCCTACATAACGAAAAAGCTAAAAACTAGGTTGACTGGTTGGTATGCAAAGACGTTATCTTTGGGAGGGAAAGAAGTACTCCTCAAATCAGTAGCTATGGCACTTCCTTTGTACGCTATGTCTTGTTTTAAATTAACACAGTATCAATGCCAACAGATTACTAGTGCCATGACGAGTTTTTGGTGGAATTCTAGTGAAGATAAGAAGAAGATGCATTGGGTGTCTTGGGAAAAAATGTGTAAAGCAAGGAAAGATGGTGGATTAGGCTTTCGTGATGTTGGGGATTTTAATCAAGCTTTACTTGCGAAACAGGCATGGCGATTACTCACAAAGCCTTCTACCTTATTAGGCCGTGTATACAAAGCACGATACTATAACCGGAAGGGTTTTATGGATGCTGTCATTGGGTCTCGTGTCCTATGCGTGGCGCAGTATCATACATGGTCGTGATCTTCTTGAAAAGGGTCTCATTAAGAACATCGGTAATGGTCAATCAACAAGTGTATGGACTGACAAATGGATATTTGATAACACGCCGCGTCGGCCTTTCAACAAACAGTCTCTTTTCGATTTAGACTTACGGGTTTCAAACCTTATTACCTCCCAAGGCTCTTGGAACCAACCTCTATTATCGGAACTGTTTTTCCCTCCGGACGTTGTCAGAATCATGTCTTACCCACCAAATATTGCGTCACAGGACATTTTCATATGGGCGTATAATAGATCTGGATGTTACACGGTAAAGAGTGGTAATTGGTTAATTTCTCACTTGCAACACGTGCCTGCACCAATAACTGTCCAGGAGCAAGAATCCCGAGCATTGAAGGTGAAGATTTGGGCTATTAAAACAGCCCCCAAGATTAGAATGTTCTTATGGCGGGCCTTATCGGGTGCATTGGCAGTTTCTGTATGCTTACGAGCTCATGGTATGAACACTGATCTTAAATGTTCTTTATGTCAGGATGCTGTAGAATCGATTAGCCATGTTTTATTCCATTGCCGGCCGGCTCGGGAAGTTTGGGAGATTGCTAACATTCCTTTGCCTGTCCAAGGTTTCACTGATTCTATTTTTGATAATTTAGATTTTCTGTTGAAAGTTATGAACAATGATGGAGTTTTACTTAATATGAGAATGGCGATTGTGGATGTCGGATTCACACACTCAAGTATTTTATTAAGTGGGAAAGATTATTCTTGAGGGACAAAAATGAATGTATAAAAACTTGTGAATTGTTACGAAAATTGTTATCTATATTTCTTTTTTTTTTTTTTGAGAGAGAGATCCCTTTACATGGCCATTGGCCTTTATATTTATACATAGAGAATTGACATTAAAATGAATAATTAAGTACAATTATTCCCTCTTAAATGTGTCCGTTTTGATTCTTTGACTTTAATGCTCAACGTTTGAATTTGAGTTGACTCTGATCTTCGTGGGCCTCGCCTTTTCGGCCCAAATATCCTTGAACCATCTTACCCATGCCTTCTTCATCGAACTCATGTCGCAATGTAATCACTTCGGATTCTCGAAGTGGTGACAACCACTTCGACCGTTCCTTTGACTCCTGGGTCCAATGGACTTCATTCTTTATGGGCCATTATCTTGACTACGTGGCAATCTTTGGTTGGTCTCGTACTTCTGGTGCGGGATCCGACACCAACAATTAGCCTCCCAAGTTCTTCGAAGTGCTATTCCAATTCGGAGGACTTTAAATGCTCAAATAGCCAAAGATTGCGCTCGAGAATCTTTCTGATTTCCCGCCGAAAATCTCATCACTCCTTTAATTTCGGCACTAGCCTTTTTTAACTGAGTGACATCTGTCATCATTATGACCGTATATTGTTTAATTACTATTAAAACGGGAAAAACCTTCCCACTTCCCACACGACTTCCGAGGCGGTTTCATCATTAGCTTGAGGTAACTTCTTTTCACCATTACTCTCTTCTTTTACTTTTGTACTTTAATCAAAAACTCTCTCTTCTCTTCTTCACAAAAAACCTCTCTTCGCCGGATCTTGAATTTTTCATTTTTATTCGATGACTTCTGATTCTGAAAGACCTGAATCTCCGTCTTACGACGAGAGGCGTTCTAGTAATGACGAATGCACTCGTCCTAACGACATCGCCGGTCCTCATTACAAATCCACCTGTACTCTTCAATCCCTTGAGCGATTGAAGGGGCTTTGTCAAATTCCTCCTGGAATTATAGCGGAGGCGCAAATAGCCGACCCTACGGAATCTCCTGAGAACCACCGTGCCGGCTACTTTTGTGTTTACGAAATTTACTTCAAGGGCTGCGGATTGACCTTCCCCCTTCCCGAAGCCCTAGTTCGATTCTTGGCGGCTCTTGAGATCGCTTTACCTCAATTAACCCCCAATCTCCTCCGAACCATCCTCGGGATTATAACCGTTGCGGCGGAGGCTGGCTACGTCATTGGACTCCCCGAGCTGAATGAACTTCTAAGCGTAAGGAGTTCATCAAAGAAAACTGGGTACTTCTCGGCGTATCCAAACGCCAATAGAAACGTCATCTCGCACCTCCCGAACAAGGATGAGAACTGGCACCATCCTTGGTTTCTGATTAAGAAAACTCCTGCTTCGATTGGGAATCTTTCCGATGTACTCCCATCGAAGTGGTCCGCGAAACCTGGTAGAGACTAGGTCGTATATTCCCTTTTTGTTTATTATTATTTTTTTACTAACCGAATTCGTTGTTTCATTTCGCAGCTTTCATCGCTTCAACTCTCCCGACTGAAGAATTTGTCAAGTTCTTCAAAACAATCCTTGAAGGGGAAACCCTTTGGAATTCTTTTACCCTCGACCGATTTGTCGAGGCCAACCGGAAATTCAGGATGAGTCCTCCCAATCTACTTCATCGTCTTCCGCCTCCTCCCTCAACTCAGGGAATGTCAGCTCGGGCCCTCGCTGCCCAGCGTAAGAAGCTCTCCAAGCCGATAGCAGAGGCTTGTGATGAAAACAAGGCGTTCCTTGCAACCGCCATCGACAAAAAAGATTACAGCAGGACCCTGCTGGTTGATGACAACAGCTCCGAGGGAGCCAGATCCGTTGTTGCTTATAAGTTAACGCCTCGCCGCGAACGCCGCGACGAACGTTCTCCTCGGAGAGAGCGGTCTCCTCGTCGTGATTCTCCTCGTCCTCCCCGAGACGATTTCAGCAACGAACCTCTTAAGAATTTGGTTCGTAAGAAGAGGGACAAGTCGTCCCGTGACGACTCGTCTCCGCGAAGGGAGAAATCAAGGGCCCGGACTGACCGTTCACCTCGATCATCCCCTTCTGCTGAACCAATGGGTCCTCCCCGACCTGTTGACATGTCTTCTTCTTCCAAGCCCGTCAGTGAAAAGACTGCTCGGAGTGCCTCCCCTAAAAGTGGAGATTCTGAATCTCGAGATGCTCCCTCGAGGCTGAAGCCTGCTCTTGTCCCTCAGGTCAAATCGCTTTCAGGTTTGGTGATTTACACATACTTATACTTTTTTGTCTTTATTAAAATTCCAATTTTTACAACTCTTCCTTCTTCACAGCTATGGAGAAAGAGGGCAGCGTCTTCCGATGCTTCAAGACCCGATCGGGTTCGATCCTGCCAGACTTCGACAAATGGCGCCCTGCGATTCGTGAACGCTACTTGCTTCACGCGCATCACTCATCTCGGGTTAGTTCCGTTTCTCTT